TGTTTCTGGCATTAACCAAAACAAGCAAACCACTCAACTGAATAATGATTATAAACCTTTGCAAAGTAACAATAATTACAATAATTGAGATTCATGCGAACCTAAAATATACCCAAAAGAACAAGACTGCTCGTATCATGGTGAAGCTCTAAATGTTTCCACTGTCTTTTAAAGTTTATGGAGCAGTAAAAACATTAAAAAATTGAAGGTAATAGAAAAAATATAAATTTTAAAAAAAAATTGAGACTTTTTGTAAAAATATCCCCCCACACATCATATAAAGTACAAAGTGATAGTTTTTGCTCCTTGTAACAAATCAATTATGGCAAATAAGCTTCTTTCAACCAATTTGGAACATATTCTAAGACGGATTAAATCTCCGCTTACGCGTTAAGAGCTCGAAATATATCGCACGTTAATTGTCCCAAAATTGGCCAAAATGGCAATCTTTAAACCCCCATAACTTTACGCAAAATGATGACAGGTGAAATATCTTTTCAAATTTAAGCTCAAGAAAACAATACCTTTGGAATGATATTTAAAAAATTCAGTGAAAAATGGCTAGTTAAAAAGTCGAAATTTGTCTGAAGAAAAAAAAACCCACCCCGAGCACAAATATTCCGTCGGAACAATAATGAAAACAAGCTAAAATTATCCAAAAAAGTTTCGTTTTTAAATGCGGGTTTTTGAATTTTGACATTCTTTAAGGTCCCATACAGAAAAAGGTAGACAAGGTTAAGTTTTTTGCATTTAAAAAAATTCGGTTGTATTTTTAGGGCTGATTGAGTACGAAGGGTTCGCGACCAGCAAAGTTCAATAAAAAGTAGTAGTTATAAGAAAAACTTGGAATTAGTTTAATTCAATAGCTGATACTTAAAAATTTGCTTGACAGAGTCAGCAAAGTATTCGAACTTTGATGAATCGATATGCGTTTTATGCAAATTGGTTTAGACTAAAAATGATTATGAGGAAAAGGTAAAGTTAAACAAAATTATTGTTTAGATTTAGCATGATAGGTTTTTCCTCTTCATATTCGAGTAGGAGAGACACAACCTCAACGGTTTTGGGCATTTCAAGGATTTGAACTAAAAACTACCCAAACTTAACATGTTTGGTTGCTCACTCAACTGCATCGAACGTAATTTTATTTCCCATCCACAAAACTACAAATGATTAAGTTTTTAGGAACTAATACTTTTTCTGACCATTCATATTATATGAAAAAACGCCTAAAGATCAGCTTAGATACGGAGTTGAAATATACTGCGATGAAAAACGTTTTGCCATAAAAATGAGCAATTTTATCCTAAACTTTTTCAATCTTCGATTCGAAATCAAGGTTTTCGTTCCTCCCGTTGAAAATCAGAAGGAATTTTATATTCAGTGTGTTTGATTTTTTGTTCCGACCATTGAAAATGAGGAGGAGCTTTTTATTTGGGTGTGTTTTAATTTTTTTTATGCTTTTTGTTTTCCGCGCAAAATCAGGTGCCACGAATAACCATTGAACTTTTTTGCAGTGTCGAGAAAAACCGCTTCAAAATTTCTGATTTTTGGTCTAACTTTGAGCTAACATAGTTTTGTTCAAATGAAGGCGGTGTCTGGAGTTTTTAGCGCAATTTTGGGAATTAAAAACCTGAAAATTCAAAAAAAAAATTGTTAAAAAGTTTGAAAAAAAAGTTAAAACTTTCAAATTTTTTTTTTCAATTTTTTTCGTTTTTCTAGCAATTTTTCTTCAAAAATTGTTTTCCAATCGATCTATTTTACTATGACGCTTAAATATGCCGAAATTCAGTTTTTCGTTCAGATTTTTTTTATCTCAACGTACAGAAAAAAAACAGCACCAACTTTAAAGAAAATTTTTTTTTGTAATTTTTTTTAAAAGTTTGTGGTCGGAACATTCTGTACTACTTGCACAGTAACCGGCTATCCTTGATATTACCTTTTTTTCATCACGCACATTCAAATATCACAAACAATTATGGCAATAGTTGGAGTGATAATAAATTGGACTGAATGGTTGGATCATAATAAAGCTCATGCAGTCGTGACTCGAACGACATTTCAAAAAAACTCTAAATAATTCTCGAGAGTAATGGTTTTGTAATTTTAAAGTTTCCGCTTTTTGAGTAAGTTCAAGCAAATAAAGTGAGCAAGCACGCTAATAAATAGTTAGTTTAGGCCATTTACGAAAGCTTATTTTTGTTTAATTTTATTTTACTCGAATAGAGTTGGTTTTTGGAAAATTTAAACACCATTTTGAGTATCAAAAACCTTGTTTTCTTTGTTTTTCTAGTTATTTTTTTTTAAAAAACTGTTTTCCAGTTTGCAAGATTTATTATGATTGTCGAATATGACTAAATTGTAGTTGTTTGTTCAGATCATTTCATCAAAGCACGCATAAAAACGACACTAAGTTAAAAAAGTTGTGTTTTTAAAAACTATGGTAGGAACTTTATGTGATACTTGGACAACAACCAGCTATCCTTGTTTATCATCTGCAAATTGTTGATAACCTGTGCTCATAATTTTGAAACATTCACTTACGATGTAAAGTTAAGGTTGTATCAAAATTGACTTTTTTTAGCTTTGTCATTGCTGTGTCATTTTTCATCATTGCGTTGCAGATTTTTTAAAATGAATTTGAGGCAACTTGATTTAAGAAAGAACTGATTTCCAATGAGAAATGTATGATTTTTCACTCAAAATAACGCATGGGGGGTTTTAAAACAGAAACAAAAAAATTTTGAATGTATTTTTATTGATTCTTTCAAAAAGCTTCTGCAGATAACTCAAAGGGCAGCCGGAACGTTCAAGTTTTTGCCCTGATACGAGCATTTTTAGTTTCAAATTTTAAAGGAAACGACAGCATAAAAGCTCTTGGTGTAGTTTTTTTTCTTCAAACAAGTTTCGACTTTTTAACTAGTCATTTTCGAATTGAATTTTCTATAGCATCTGAAAAGTGACGCTCAGAGTTTTATCCCAAAGCGGAAGTGGTAAAAAAGCGGTCGATCAAGGAGTAAAAGCGAAAACGGCGAAATCGATCGAAATTTTTCCAGGGCATTAACAAAAACGGAAGAGAGGTTTTGCTTTTTCAAGCGCCCAGGGCTTTATCAAAAATGATAGCACGTTATTTTTTTTGCTCTGAATAAAAAAACATCATGCTTCAAGTTCCGTCGCGTTCTTCTAATTTCGGAACAATATCGGTTTTTAATTTTTTCCCATTGTGAATAAAAAACTTTTATAGAAAAACATACGAAATTTTTTGAGCGAATAAGCGGTGTGCGCTTAGATAGGCGCGAAAAAACTGAACAGATTTTATAAAAGCAGCGATGGTTAAAAGAGTTTTCAAAAAGCGATGGAATTACTCTGGTGATCATACCCTTCAAATGATCTTGTGAGTGTTTTGTTGGTCATTGTTGATTGATTTATCGAAATATTGTTGTTTGAGTGACTTGTTCTAATCATCAGTGGTTTCAGCGGGAAGTTGATTAGCGACACCTCGCCTCACCACCGTTGAAGTTTTTTAATGAAATACTAGATGCACGATTCAATGAGGGGATAGCTTGCTGCACGAGTGTTCTTTTGAGTCAATGTATGCATAGCACCATTGCCTCAAAAGAATAGAAAAAGAATAGAATTAGCTATCTTCTTCAAGTTTCAGCCGCATGTTTTCAATAGCTGCTTGCTAAATGAATCGCATTTTTGTTAACTTTATGAATTACACTTCAAATTCGATGTTTTTGATATAGTCATATATATTGCATGTATACAACATTGTATCAGCGTAAGTCTTACAGAAAATGCTTATTTTACTATAGGTCATTCAGATCTCGTCACAAACAAAAAACGACGTTTTATCTTCTTCTGATTGTATAAAGCTAATTAGTGATTTATACATTCACTTTTGTTTGTGAACGCCACGCGATTTTTTCAGTTATCTTATCCAAAATGAGTAAGCACGGAAGATTCGAATTCAAAATTCCCCTGTCAATCTTATGAACAAAATAACCTTCGCTCATCATCGAATCCATGCAGTCCGAGCTCCGCCAGGAACAATGGTCGCCTACCTGCAATTACTACGACTGCAGTCAAAACGGACGCAGCTTGAAACCAATTGTTTGCGGTTTATGTTGCAGATCTTTCACTCAATTCTCGAACTTACGCCGCCACTTGCGCACAGACTGCTGCCAAAAAGTAACCTGCTCTATTTGCGGCGACAGTTCCAACTCAATCAGCGCTCTGAACAAACACCGAATTTTCTGCTCCAGAAAGTTTCTGAAAGTAGACCAGCCTTCAATTTCGGTCGCTTCGAATGCGCAGAGTTTGAATGTCCGGATTCCGAAAACGCAGTTCTCGGCACGAAGCGGCGTCTCGGCTTCGTTTCTGCATTCGGCTGACGAAAATCGAACTGAGAATTATCAAAAGTATTTGAGCTTCGGCGAGGAAAATTCAATGATAAAAGAAACAAGACTGCTCGTATCAGGGCGAAGCCCTGAATGTTCCGACTGCCTTTTAAGATTTATGGAACAGCAGTAAAAACATAAAAAATTAAATGAAATAAAACAAAATGATTTTTTTTTTAAATTTGAAGTTTTTTATGAAAATCATCCCCCCCCCCCACAGGCCATATAAAGTACAAAAAAATAGATTTTGTTCCTTTTAACAAATCAATTATGGCAAATAAGCTTCGTTTAACCAATTTGGAACGATTTATAAGACGGATTTAATCTCCGCTTACGCGTTAATAGCGCGAATTATATCGCGCGTTAATTGTCCCAAATTGGTCAAAATGGCCGAAATGGCAATCTGTAAACCCTCATAACTTTACGAGAAATGATCACAGGTGAAATATCTTTTCAAATTTAAGCTCAGGACAACAATACCTTTCGAATGATGTAAAAAAAAATTCCGTCAAAAATGGCTAGTTTGTCTGAAGAAAAAAAAACCCACCCCGAGCACAAATATTCCGTTACTTTTGTATCGAAAGTCGGAACAAAAAGTTTAAGAGGCATTATCTGCAATCCAGCACTCGATTCGAGCAACTCAGGACAACATGTCTGCTCGTTTTCGGCAACCGAACAGAAGTTGAAAACAAGCGAGAGACCGAATGAAGAAAAAAACGAAGAGAGGGAAATGGATTTGAATTTATACGGATACGAAGACAATTATAGCGACACGACAAACAAAATGGTGACCGAACACGAATCAAGTGTGTCTTCGATCGACCTAGAAACTTTTGATAACCATTTTTACAACGGTTTCGTAGTGAATCAACATCAAGATTCAAATGAAGCTTTGGAGTCGGCTCAAACTGTTAAGCTGAACATGGTGAACGCTTTCGACCAAATGAACTGCCAAAACTTAAAGTTCAATTTATTAGAGCAATTTCACTTTGGGTCGAGATCCGTTGCAGCAGGGCAGGTTCCCGAGTGGTTGAGCCCTGGAGTTCGGAGTGGCCCTGTTTCTGTATCCAACGTTCCCGGAGGTCAGCTGAAACCCGCAACCGCATCACAAAACTCGCATGCAAATTTTATCATGTGCAGATTCTGTCGCAAAGTTTTTCCCCGAAGTAGTAACTTAAATCGACATCTCCGAACTCACACTGGAGAGAAACCTTTCGTGTGTAACTACTGCAACAGAGCCTTCAGTATATCGGGTGATCTGCAGAGACATGTGAGGGATACTCACAAACAGCAGAAACGCTTCAAATGCAAGGTCACTTTAGTTACTAAATCAGCAGCCTTTTTTAACTTTAAGTTAAAGTCCAATAGCTGAAAAATTGATTATTTTGATGAATCAGTCATTTTAATACTACTTGACCCATCACTAATAATCTTCAATTGTAATCCAACTTTTTAAAGATCAATCATTTTATTTGATCAGTCACCATATTTATTATCAGTCATTTTAACCTTTAATTATAATCCAATCACAAATTGATTAGTCTCACTAATTAATCAACCATTGCTAACCTACATTTATAATCCAAATAAAAAAGAATCGGTCATTTTAATAAATCAGTCACTTTAATTACCAAACGATAAGTCACTATTTAACTTTAATTACAATTCAAATAGTCACTATTGAAATATCAGAAATCACAACGTGGAAAAGGCGTTTGTTTAAAAACAGTGCAACAGAGCCTTCAGTGTGTTCAAGTAGTTTGTTGCAACATTTGAAGGATGCTCAAAAACCAGAGAAACACTTCAAATGCAAGATCACTTTCATTACTAAGTGATCTGCCTCTAATTATTAGCAATATACTAATTCCTTGTAACTTTGATCAATCATTCGCTTTAAATACTAATTCATCAGTCACTTCTAGGCTTCAATTATAATCCGTTTGCCACATGATCAATCACTTTAATTAATCAGTCAATTTATTTTCTAGTTGATAAGTTACTAAAAATCATCAATTACAATCCAATAACTTAAAAATCAGTCACTTTAACTACTCAGTCACTTTAACTACTCAGTCACTTCAATTACTCAGAGATCTTTTTACCTTCAATTATAATCCGATTACTAATTGGTCATTGACTTTGATGAATCAGTCAGGTTTTCTTACGAAACTATTCAGTCACTAATAATCATAATCAAAAACAATCACTAATTGATATAGTCACTTAAATCAAAAGACTTAAGAATTAGTTACTTTAATTACTAATTGATCACTCTCTTTTAACTTTCAAACTCGAAAACTAATTGATCAGTCACTCTAATTGCCCGGTTTGACCAAGAATGCTAATCATACATTTTTCATATATGAAAAAATGCTAGTCATACCTTTTTCAAGCAATTCCTTAAGTACAGAAAATTGCATGAAAAGTCTATGATTAGTGATTTTTATATATGGAAATTTTATGACTAGCATTTTTCCATAAATCATAAATATTGATGTTTTACATTCTTTTTGGTTGTGCTCGTAACCGAACACAAGTAACCAAAACCTTGGTTACTCAAATGTAAAGTAACCAAACGTTTGACCGTCTTGCATTAGTATTGTGTTGAAAGTGGCCTGAATTGTCTTAAATCTGTCATTCACAAATCATATAAATAAAGTGTCAAACTTTTAAATTTTGGCAAATATTTTCAACGATGAATATTTTTGAAATTTGATTTTTCAAGTTATCAGACATTGATTAAGGCATACATAAACATGCAATACAAAAGAAAGAGGAGTTTGTAGCGTATTTGAAAAATTCATTAAGCGAAAAGGAAATACAATAATTTTGGTTTATCCAGGACTACGTTATACACACAAAAAAATATATTTTTCATGCAAAGTTTTTTTTTTGAAAAATGTTAGTTTGTGTACAAAGTTCAATTTGCGGTTGAACAAATGCAAAAAAAAACATTTGAGGCCAATTTTAAATTTACTTCAAAAATTTTTTGTTGACGCTATCAAAAAAATGCTACTCTTACAATTTCCATATATGGAAACTGTATGATTAGCATTTTTTTTGACAAAAAATTTTAATTTTTTATTTAATACGATACACCGAGTTTTATGCCAAAACAAGAAAAAAGTTCTTCGTAAATTCGATGACACCCTTTTAGCAAAATGTATGAATTTTGCATGTCTAGTATTTTTTCATAGACTTAGTTTATGGAATTGTATGAATAGCATTTTGGGATTGTGGAGGTCAACCCGGGTGATCAGCCATTGTTGACCAAAAATTAGAAATCAATTGCTAATTAATTAGTCATTTTGATTAGTCAGTCACTTTAATTGCCAGTTGATCATTCACTATCAATATTGAATTACAATCCACCAATTAGTTTTTGTTAACATCTCAAAACTCGCTCTGCTGAGAAGCCGTTCGTGTGAAAATACTGCAACTGAGCCATCAGTTGCCGAGTAATCTGCAGCCACCTGGCATCTGCAGCCTCATGACATGGAATTTTAATTAAATGATATGATTTGACTGTAATATTTCAGCAATCGACGAAAACTAAATTTTTATGCAAACAGTCTAGCGCTAAAAAGATTTGCACGTCGCAATTTTAACATAGGTCGCAATAATCTAGGCTGACTTTGAAAACTACTGAATAGCGCCGTATATTTTGCCCCCTTTTCATGACTACAAATCTTTTAAATTACTATTGGGAATTGAATCTCTAAGCAGCAGTTTCCAGTTCCAGTTTTCATTTTTTTGAATGGAGTTTAGGTTTAAGCACTGGTTCACGCGGCTTTCTAGATCTAAATTTCCCACCGATGAAAATGTTGCTGTATATAATTGTTTCGAATGCATTTTTGACCCACTTGCTTGTGATTTTTCTGTGATATTCTTCAATACGTGTCATAGCGAACTCACAAAGAGACTCGTCTGCTTCTTGGTCCTGTCCGAACTTTTGAAATACTTCGATACATTTAATTGGCGTCGTGAGTTGCTTCTGTTTCTGTGTTTTTTCCTTGCTCCGCTGGCTCATACTCAAACTGGTTGTCATACTTCATTAATTATCATTAGCCTTCTTTAAGTCTGATTTTCTGGCTATGTACTGCTTGTAAATTCGAACTTTGTATTTCGGCTAACATTGGAATGGAAGTTGCAGCTTCTGATTTCGAGATTGCTGGGTCGACCACTAACTGTTTTCCAGTTGACAATGTTTTGCTCTTCTCCGGTGAAGCTACTGCAGTGACTCCGAATCCTGAAAATTCCGATGACACAAACAGATCCCCTATTGTGTTAGTAGGATCCGGTTCTGATAATGATGGGCCTATTTCATGCGATTTTTCTTGCGACGTCATTTTAGTTGCCCGAATAAAAGGTAGCCATTATCACAGGTTGCTTCTTCTTTTGAGATGCACTAGGATATACTAAGTAATCGTCCCACGAGGAAGAACGCGATGCCTCCACCGTCCGCGGCCAAATCCGCGCAGAGTTTGGTTTCAGAATTGTTCGTTATGGGGCTTTGGGGTTGAACTTGCTTTTGGCATTTGGTATATTCGCTTTTGGTGTTGAACCTATGTTAATTTTTTTATGGGATTAGCTTTGCTTCAATCTAAATGCGCCTTTCTTTGTTAACTTACTCGTTTCGCTAATGAATATCTGCTCAGTAACCCTGACATCTTTAAAGTCTTCAAATTAAAGTCTTCAAATTAAAGTCTGCCCAATTTCCGATCCAAAATCTTGCGATTAGCGACCACATTTTTAGGATAGTTAATGACGTCATAATCTAAATTATTCGAATGTTGGGATAGGCTCGTCTGCAGATCTTGTCGCACCCTGAACCTCAGCGTACACAGAATCAGGTTAATTTTCAGTGTTGATGGGGAAAATGCAACTCGGTCATTCATGCTCCTCAAAACTTCGGGTCTTTTTACGTTGTATCTGCCTTTTTACGGTCCAAAACGGTCAGAAAATTAGTTTGTTTTTTTTTTCTCAGCAAAACTCCAAAATTGGGGCTTTTTTAAACCTGAAATTTGGTCGGTACGGATTGTGTCAGAATTAATTGGTTGTTGATTATATCCCTTCTACGAATTCTATAATTTTTTCTCCAATAATTGTTTTGGTAGGCAGCGCCGATGGATATTTTGAATAAATGTTTATGGCTACTAAAATGTATACGTTATTTAAAAAAGGTCCTGCAAAGTCCAATTGTAGTTTTTCAAATGATGCCTTCATCTCAAGTAGTGGGTTATTTGAAACATCTGGTTTCGAAGTGTTCGAAATTTTTTTTGTGAGCATTGTCTGCAGTTCTAGCAACGTTCGATAACTTTGCGGTGCATCCTTGGCCAGCGGATGTAAGCTGTCATCTCTAGATATTTTAGTTTGAGTTCTACTTTCGTCTAACAAATTGGAAATGCAACTCGAATATCACTGATTACACAGTCGTTAAAAACAACGGCATCCTTCCAAAAAGGCATTAAAATAGTTCCCTACTTGCATGAACTTCCTGTATTTGGTTAAAATGCATTAACTTAATGACTCCAACAGAGACTCGTTCGTTGTTACCTCTCTAAGTAAACCTGCAACCAGTAAAATTGAAAGACTTGTAACTCCAAATCTGTCCAAATCTGTGTAACTCTCGTGGCCCTCCTAATCACTTGGCTTGAGACACCGCTGATCCTTGATTTTCTTGGCGAGCTCCTAAAACTGAATTTATCCATTTTTTACCGTCATTTTTTTCAAGTTGACTACTGTTGTCAGTTTTGCCCTCCTCCATACAATTTTCCGATATCTTCAATTGAGTGGCGGCGTTACGGTTAACGGCTGAATCAAAGGTAGTTGTTGTTCCCACTTTCGATACGAAAGTAACGGAATATTTGTGCTCGGGTGGGTTTTTTTTTTCTTCAGACAAATTTCGACTTTTTAACTAGCCATTTTTGACGGAATTTTCTTATATCATTCGAAAGCTATTGTTGTCTTGAGCTTAAATTTGAAAAGATATTTCACCTGTGATCATTTTTCGTGAAGTTATGGGGATTTAAAGGTTGCCATTTTGGCCAATTTGGGACAATTAACGCGCGATCTAATTCGCGCTATTAACGCGTAAGCGGAGATTTAATCCGTCTTAGAAATCGTTCCAAATTGGTTGAAAGAAGCTTATTTGCCATAATTGACTTGATACAAGGAGCGAAATCTGTCCTTTTGTACTTTATATGGCGTGTGGGGGGATGATTTTCATAAAAGTTTCAAATTTTAGAAAAAAAAATTTCATTTTTATTACATTTTATTTTTATTGGTTATTACTGCTCCTTAAACATTAAAAGGCAGTCGGAACATTCAGGGCTTCGCCCTGATACGAGCAGTCCTGTTGTTCCGACTTTCGATACGAAAGTAACGGAATATTTGTGCTCGGGGTTGGTTTTTTTTTCTTCAGACAAATTTTGACTTTTTAACTAGCCATTTTTCACGGAATTTTTTTATATCATTCAAAAGGTATTGTTGTCTTGAGCTTAAATTTGAAAAGATATTTCACCTGTCATCATTTTTCGTAAAGTTATGAGGGTTTAAAGGTTGCCATTTTGGCCATTTTGACCAATTTGGGACAATTAACGCGCGATCTAATTCGCGCTATTAACGCGTAAGCGGAGAATTAATCCGTCTTAGAAATCGTTCCAAATTAGTTGAAAGAAGCTTATTTGCCATAATTGACTTGATACAAGGAGCGAAATCTGTCCTTTTGTACTTTATATGGCGTGTGGGGTGATGATTTTCATAAAAATTTCAAATTTTAGAAAAAATAATTTCATTTTTATTACATTTTATTTTTATTGGTTATTACTGCTCCTTAAACATTAAAAGGCAGTCGGAACATTCAGGGCTTCGCCCTGATACGAGCAGTCCTGTTGTTCCGACTTTCGATACGAAAGTAACGGAATATTTGTGCTCGGGGTTGGTTTTTTTTTCTTCAGACAAATTTTGACTTTTTAACTAGCCATTTTTCACGGAATTTTTTTATATCATTCAAAAGGTATTGTTGTCTTGAGCTTAAATTTGAAAAGATATTTCACCTGTCATCATTTTTCGTAAAGTTATGAGGGTTTACAGGTTGCCATTTTGGCCATTTTGACCAATTTGGGACAATTAACGCGCGATATAATTCGAGCTATTAACGCGTAAGCGGAGATTTAATCCGTCTTAGAAATCGTTCCAACTTGGTTGAACGAAGCTTATTTGCCATAATTGATTTGTTACAAGGAACGAAATCTATCCTTAAGTACTTTATATGGCGTGTGGGGGGATGTTTTTCATTGAAAAAATTTCAAATTTTAGAAAAAAAAAATTTCATTTTATTTTAGTTCATTTAATTTTTTAAAGTTATTACTGCTCCATAAACCTTAAAAGGCAGTCGGAACATTCAGGGCTTCGCCCTGATACGAGCAGTCTTGTTCTATTTGTACATAAATTGATGGTGAGATAGATGCGCTACTAGACATTTGAGAGACGAGGAGATTGATAATTTTGTCGAAGCTACTTTCAAAATTTGAAGAGATTCTGCCCACTTTACAGGAGGTTAAGTACAATGTAGCTTGTCTTAGTATGTACTGCTTTTTGATTGGCTAACTTTAAATACATGGTCCACTTGCAATTTCTACTCGTAATTTTTACTCGAATCTAATTGGTTGATATTTGAATTGGATCTTTTGAATCTCATTTACTGATGACTCGATTGCATTGAGCGACGCGCTCAACCAAATTCAAAAGGCTGACTCAAATTTTTCTTTGTTGTCAAAATCGTATACCGGTCTGCCCAATTTGTGAAACGCGATTGCCACTGTTCTTTGTGAGGACTGAAACCACTATTTTAGGTCCATGAGATTGTAATTTTGGATCCCCAACAAAATTTTAAATTAGTCACATAACCAAACTACAGCTAACTTTGATAGAATATTTCTCTTCCGCTTGAATTATGATCCTAGATGTGAACAAAAACTGGGGCCCAAATTTCTGGCTCTACGTTTTGTTCCAAGGCGGCTACAAGTCCCGACTGGCGTCCTAAATTAATCTCAATAATTTTGACGAGTCGTAACGAAACGTTTCCGTGATGTCACCGATTAGGTCTGGAATTTCGTTAAATTCTTTTTTATGAATGCCAGTTCAGATAAACGATTGTTTGTTGCTGGTTTTCAGCAAAGGTCTCAATGGTTTTTCTAACCTCGATAAAAAATCAGGACTCCCATTGAAGATCTGAAATCTTTCAGAGTTTTTAGCGGCGTTTTACTCAAAACTGATTCCAAATTTAAATATTTTGGACGAAATTTTTCTACATCTATCTCAAATCCTGGTCATTTCAGGTTCGTCATCGATTTTGGACTGGCCCTTTTTAAAGTATAGGTTTTATCCTGTAGTTTTTTTTTCTTATTTCTTCTGTTTTTTTTTTGTTGTGTTCTAATATGGAGCCATTTGATTCAGAAAACAAAATCTTCCAGTAAATTCTAGTAGAATGTTGTCCATTGCCTCCTGAATTTCTTTAGACATGTCTGTGATTCGATAATTTCGGTTCAATTCTGTAAGTGTCCGTAAGTTCACCACATACAACGTAAATTTACAATGCCTACCCACATGCCATCAAAAGGTAAGTGCCTAAAATAGAATTTCAAACCAAATAAAGGGAACCACACTTTACCCGAAAAAATGATGTAATGGTTTGGGCTACCGAGTCCATTAATTCTAACAAACAAGGCATCTGGTGTTATTGTTTAAATCATTGGGCGTTCATCGGCTAAGCAATCATTGCTGACTTTAGTTATCAATATTTATTGCCGTTAACATTACCTGAAGATTGAATGTGAACTGCTTTGATCAAATTTTAGTTTCAGCCCACACCTCTGGCTATTTGGCTATCAACCACTACTAACCTTTAACCATCATCCAATCATTATTAATGAAGAAACTTTTCTTTCATTAATCTCTTTTGATATTGAGCAAAAAGGCAATTTGACACCGGGGAATAAAGTATTCATAACTCTCTCCAACTTCTACGAGAACAATCAGACAGAATTGAAAAAAGTGAATTGAATAGTGATGTGTTGCAGTAACCGCATTACGGGCTTCTTAAACTCAAAAAAAGGCACTTTTTGAATTAAAATGCAATTTTATTTTTGAATAATAAAATGTCTTCATGTTCAGTTGTGCAGCAAACCCTTCGGACAGCTTGTTAACTTGAAACGACATTTACAGAAACAGGACCATAAACACCCTTGCTCCTCCCCTTCCACCTCAGCCCTCATGGTTGTGTCACGTGATACCACACCCGAACTCACACCTTCAGCCAAAGGAGTCCACGCGACATTCGGGTCATTCGCGAAAGGAATCAGTCTCAGGACACCGGCAACATTTCAAAGTGCTACAGCTACCCACTTAATGCCAACGGCAGGCGACATCGGTGCATTTTTGGACACGTCTACTTTGCAAAGCCATGGAGGCTACCCTTGCTCTTCAACACAATTAGCTCGCACGATGTCAGTGATTCGTCCCCACCCGGAAAAAATGTCCCACTGCTCTACTGACTTTTAAAATAACTTTTAATTTCATACGCTATTAAATTGTATCTACCTCTAAAAGTTCAGTTTAACTAGTTTGCAGCTATTTTCATTGCCTTAATGCACCAATACTTTTCATTGCCTTAATGCACCAATACTTAAGAGCCTTTTACACAACACTTTTTAAAGCCTTGTCAGCGCTCTATCTCACTCTAAATTATAAAATATATTTTGAGATCAGTTTTGTTCATGGTAATTACACACAACAGCAGAAACATGTAATTTTTTCATATTAGTGTATTAAATTTGGTGAATAAAAAAACACAAAAACTTTGATTTCTCAGAAAAACAGTTTTCGGGTGTAGCTCAACAAATGCGCTAAAACTCATAGTTTTGCTTGCTTTTATTTTTTAAATTATCAATTTTAAACCGAAGTAACTAAAAATATTAATGGAATGATTTTAAAATGGCAAATAACGAAACTTCAAAAGGAGAGTTTATGCATTGTTAGATACTTGCACTGACGTAACAAGGTTTCTTAACGTTTTACATCGATTTTAAAACGACTTGAACTTAACTCAAATCGATTAACCAAAACCTCACTAGGAATTTAAGCGGTTTTTATATCGATTTGTTTTAAAAATACAACCTATGAATTGTTTTTTTTTACAATTTTCTTTTAAAAGATTGTTTAATAATTAATCATCATTTGTTTATTCGTCATCTACAAATAGTTGAGTAATGTTGCTCAGCGCAAAGAAATATTATCAGGGGGTCCCTCTAAGTTTGTAGCATACTACCCAGTACCTTATAAAATGTTTCTTGTGGGTTCGATTATAAACTTGTTACAAGAAAAAAAAACTTGTTTTAAAATGATTCACTCACATTATCTGGATTCAGATTATTAAACTTTTTGTGGAAAACAAGAAGATGTTAACAAGGAATGAATTCTGTAAAGTAAATTGAAAAACCCCACCGATGTAAATTGTTACAACCTGCCATCTTTTTGGAAATTGAAAGACTGCTCGTACCAGGGCGAAGACCTGAATGTTTCGACTGCCTTTTAAGGTTTTATGGAGCAGTAATAATATCAAAAAATTAAATGTATCAAAATAAATGAAAAAATTTTTTTTCTAAAATTTGAAATTTTTAATGAAAATCATCCCCCCACACGCCATACTAAGTACAAAAGAATAGATTTCGATCCTTGTAACAAATCAATTATGACAAATAAGCTTCTTTCAACCAATTTTGAACAATTTCTAAGATGGATCAAAACTCAGCTTACGCACTAATAGCGTGAATTATATCGAGCGTTAATTGTCCCAAATTGGCCAAAATGGAAATCTTTAAACCCCCATAACTTTACGAAAAATGATCACAGGTGAAATATCTTTTCAAATTTAAGCTCAGGTCAACAATACCTTTTGAATGATATAAAAATTCCGTCAACAATGGCTAATTAAAAAGTCAAAATTTGTCTGAAGAAAAAAAAACCCACCCCGAGCACAAGTATTCCGTTACTTTCGTATCGAAAGTCGGAACAATAAAGACGGCTCAAAAGCCAGGAACATTTTGATGAAATTACGGAAAAACATAAAAGTGCACCGAGCATTTTAGTAATTACAAGAACGCTGTCTCAAACTCAGCGTCGGTTGTCTCATTTAGAGTCGCTAGTATCTGAGCAAGGCGTTAATTTTTTCCGTTTGTTGCCTGCCGGTTTCTACCTCACCAGAGAATGTTGCACGGCTTCAGATATTTTTTTCAAATAGCGATTTTGCGCCGTACATTTTGTAGATGTAGCGTCCATTAGTTGATTCCTCGGACTATTACGCTCCAAGCGCAAGCGGTTGTTACTAGTATCACTTTTTCGAGCTCCACAATTACACTTTTTAAACGGTGACGCGCCTAATTTCAGTTTCTTTTTTCTTAAATTTCGTTATCTTTCTCTATGGCATCGGCTTTCAAGATTTAATTTTCTTTGGATGTAGTTGGTACCCGCATCCAGTTTCAAGCGTTAATAATCGATTGTATTACGATTTTAATACCAATCTTACTAAAATTGAGAAACAATCGATTTTAATCAATTAATAACTGATTATAATCTCTCTTTTTAAGTTCAAATTATAATTAATTATAATTCATTATAATCGATTTTTTTCCGTCCATTTTTCGATACAATTATAATCAATTATAATGGATTATAATCCATTATTTTTATTCAAATTTCTAATTCATTGGTTTTGCAGAAAAATCCATTATAATCGATTATAATTGATTATAATTCCTTTTGTTTGTCCATTTTGTTTTCGAGTTGCATCTAAATTGCTTATATTTTATGCTTTTTGTAGACGTTGGTTCCTATGAAAAATGAGAAAAATGTGTTTTTAAAGTTTTCCAATCAACTCAAACTTATAAGTTTTTTTTTTCAATTCTTCCCCCATTAGAGTTGTTTTGTGATGCATATTTTAAGCTTTTTAACCACCAAAACATCATTAAATTGGTTTAGTTTCATGATTGATTTGGAAGATTTATTTTTCATCTACCGCGGAAATCTTTCCACTAATATGAAAGGATCTTTGTGAAACTTTTGTTTCGAGGTAAAAAACTGTGTCCAGATGAACCAAAGTGTTCAAGAGATCTCTTTTTGAGAGATTTTCTATTTCACACAAAAATAATAACCCATAAGATATAATTCAAATATAGTTTTGAATTGACAAAATTTTGGCAAAATAAGAGATTATAATCGATTATAATTGTTTCTAATGGTTTTTTGTAAGAACTATAATCAATTATAACCGATTATAAAAGATGGTAACCTCTTGGAAAATATCACGAATATAATCAATTGTACATCCTATGAAATGAATTATAATTGTCAAAAAATCATCATAGTAATCCGTTATAGTCGATTATTTAGCCTAAAACTGGATGCGGGTAGCTCTACGCAGAGAGGCGCCACCAAGGCTTCATGTTGATTTCTGTTTTTTTTTCATCTACTTGCTCCAGATTTTGATTAGCCAATTTACGATGAAGTACGTGTAATAGCCAATTTACGATGAAGGAAGCGTAAATTGGCTACTGCGCCAATTTCTGGCTTCATGTACCCAAGTAATTTGAGGAACAACAGCTCATTATGATACCAAACTTTAGATTTCAAATTTGGAGTAAATGCGAGGCTCTGAGCTTTTCCATACTTAAAGTTTTTGACAACCGTCATTGGTAGTAAGACTGAAGACGAGTGTAATCCCTTCTGCAATTCAAGGTTTACTGTGTATGATGTTTGTAGTTAATACAATATGCGGTAGTGAGTTAATTTGACCCTTCCGAGATATACGCCCCTGTAGAGCTACGGTTTCTGTCGATTCTTCTGCATGTAATAATCAAGCAGATCCCGAATCGGATACATTTTCAATAATGCTGCAAGTTGCAATGAATGCAGCAGATATGTTGATGATACTCGATACCGGAGTTGACGCTATTTACGGAGGTGCAATGCCTTTCTATTTTCCTCCTGTTTCACGATATCCGCCCACCTTTTTGTGAGAGAGCTTGAGTTACCCAACTCAATTGTATTGAAGTCTAATTAGAGAACCGCATCCGTATCAGGCACCGAACTGATGATTTCGTATAATGTCTTGTTGACCTTGAGACGAAAAAGGACTTGACGGCATTATACCTTCTGAACAATAAATTTTAAATTTTATAATGACGCAAGTGCGGGGATCTACACGTAACAACCGTTCGGTCGGAAAGAAAGACTCAGTTGGAGCACTTTGAGTTATGACCGATGTGGTTAACTCATAGAGTAATTTCGGATAGGGTACACCGTCTGCTCGTCACGCTATCTTGTTTTCGGCCGGATAGATTCGTGCAACTTCTTAGTCTAATACCGATCCTAATCTTACTCTTATACTTTCTAGTCTCAGGGTGTTTAACTAGTCTCTGCTAGGCTCAATAGATCTAGGGTATACTGGTTTGTTGCGGCTGCTGAAGTTCTCTTGGAGAGACAACTAATTTCTAAGTTAAATTCAAATCTCTCTGGTGCTGAAATTACAAGTAATTTCAGCACTTACAAATAAGTGGGTTGTTAGTTAGATGGATCATGATTGGTTAATATTAAATACTTTACAGTGGTAAAATAACTAATTTATCCAATCATAAAATGTAGTTTAGATCAGGTTCCACCCATCCGGGTTTTACAGAGTTTTTTAGAATTACCTTTCTGCAATTCAAAGGATGGATGATGAACGTTGGTATTTGGCGAACATCGTATTCTTGTCCGGTTCCTCTTGTTAGAGAAGTTCCAGGACGCTGGAGTTAGGGGCATCAATCGTTGTGTCTTCTTGTGACAACGACTGTGTTTCCCAACGAAATCAATCTGATTTCAAAATGGTTTGCTGTGACGGGTTTTTCTGTATTATGTAGAGAACTTGTTTTTTGTTCAACCTGGTCTGGGAATGGCGTGGAGATTGTGCGTGGAGGGGATGCCTTGTAACTCGGATCTGTACGTATACTTGAATATCGAGGTGGTCATTGGTCTAGTTCAATGAAGTCCTTTTCTGCGAAGTCAAGTCGTACTCTAAATCCTTTGAGTTGTGATTGTGGACGGCATATCGGTTGTGGTTAGCCATTCTTGTTCGAGTGTGATGGGATCGTTTTGTCTTTGGATGTTTGTCTTTGTTGTTGTGTGTTGATCTATATACTGCAAGGTATGATTTACATTTTATAAAATTTTATTAGTTCGGTTTTTTATTCATGAATTTAGTTAGTTGTTTTCACAAAAGCATTTTTGTTTTAGTTCGGTTTTTTTGAAGAGTTACTCACCCTTGAGTACCTCTTATTAAAAAAAGAAGTGTGGTCACAAAGCGTGGATGTAGCGCGGTGGGTTAGGCCGGCTATAGAGCATGCTCAGGACGTCCTCTCTGGTGGGTTAGGCCAGGAGTGGGAGTATGATTTCGTGCGGTTTCTTTGAGAAGTCCTGTTATGTGATAACGTTTTATGTTGGGTTTGTGTTGGTCTTTCTTATGTTCCTTTGGTTGTGTCCTTTTTTCAAAAATCAAATTGTTTTTGTTATGGGTTTGTCTTTTGACTTTTTTGTGTGTTATTATTTCTTTCTTAGACTTTATAATAGTCTTCAAATGAATAAATTATCCTGTTTTAAACTGGGTTAATCCGGTTTGGGTACCGTTGGTTTTCTTTACTTAGTCTTGCTGTTATTTTATGATTTGTGGT